ATTTTTGTGTCCCCTTGGGTCCTGAAGACATATTTGACGTTGAAACGTGCAGATGGTTCTGTCTGGCACTTTGTTATCTCCATGGTAACCTCACAATGGATTATCTAAATAAAGTGATGATTCATGAGCATCCAGTGTACATTCACAAAAGGTGACAATGCATTAGGAAAACAGCTGGCTGGTTGCAAGTAGAAACATGGACTGTGGTTGCATGCTGGTGTCTAGCTGAACGCAACATATAAATAAATGTTCTCATTAAAAATAATTGCGGGTGAACCTCGCGAGAACGGAGAGTAAGAAAAAAAAGCTTGTCCTCGCTGCCCTCTGCAGCCACGCCATGTGTTGCTTATTAAATCACTCTTTCCCTGTCCGCTGTGATCTCTCGGAGTGTCTCCCGTGGATATATGTTCCGGTGCGACCCCGTAAACCCCATTCGCTCCCCTAGCACTGGCAACGGGAGGGGATGATTAAATAAGTTCTGACGAAACCCAACTGATCTAAATGCATAGCTGCACAGTGACCCCACTGCTTAATTTCCACCTGCTCATTCCTGTCTGGTCAACTGCAAAGGCATGTTGTGCGAGCCCTTACATAGGAAGATCCATACACAATTAGCGGCCCACTGTGGCCCAAACCCCATGCCGCTCGCCGTAAAAAGATGCTAATACAAGGGGGCCTCTGTAGTGAAGAACAGGGGCTCAGCAGGGAGCCCGTGGCCCAATAGCCATCTCTCCAGGAACAGGACCCTGAGAGAAAGCCAGGGGCCATGGAGCAACACATGCTCAATAAAAAGACTGCAAGCTTCAACGGGTCTGTCCCATCAAGCTAACAGGACCTAGCGGGCATAGAGATCTTTTACTCTTTCTTTTCTACGTTTTCCAGCTTGCTTAATCTCAGCCTCTTTAAATACAAAAGACATTTGGTTCATGAACTATAGTTTAGGGAATTTCTGCAACAAAGATAGATGAATGGAAAAATACAATACAGCGGAGAGCCCTTTGGTCGATAGAATGCAACAGATGCATTTTTTAGTTGATAATATAGAATCACTCTGGGAAAAGTGAAATTGCCTCAGCCTGATAACTCCGTCTCTGGTTGATAGCTATAAGCAGAGATGAATTTTGAGAAGTGTAGAGATTTCCCAGCGGTAGAATTTGTGCGTTTAACTCAGCCACTGTGGCCAGATTTTTGCTTTATGTTGTGTTTAAACACTTGGGACTGGATATTTCAAATGCCAACCACCTCTGTATCCGTGATTCGATACTTTAGCTCTTTGCAGATGTAAGGTTTCGCCTTCACATGTTTTCACGTGTAATTCCTCCTCAATTGCTGGAAAAGCATACCAAATTCCTCTGAAAACACACTCTGTGTTCGAATCCACAGCTCGAATCCCTGAGCTAAGCCTTTTCAGCTTTAGTCTCAGCACTGGATCACATTTCTGGAACTACAGAATAACTTGTGTTTCTAAAGACACACGAAATCATATCGACACCGGCAACATGAATCTGGGCCTATAAACTCCCTTATCAGTTTACACGATAAGCTTACCCTGTCCATGCCCTTTTTCTCTCCAGAATTTGACAAATCTGTAATGCTGAGCTGAGTCGAGCTGCAGAAGACGGCTCTGTCATAACACAGTTAAAAAAAAAAGCTTTAATATGCTCCCTTAATATCCTGACAAGGCGAAGAAATGAGAACGGGAGGTATTAGCTCATGTCATCGTCAACCCTAAAAACATTTCAAAATATTACAGGCTCAAACCCACATGACATATCTTTCAAGATATCTGTTTTTGTTTACAGAAGGGCAGGGTGAAAAATCCACAGTGTGTTTTGGACTGCAATTTATGCCACTTAGTGTGAACGTGTAGGCGACTTTTCGTTAAAAACCAAAAGGACTACAACAAAGGACGTGACCACCTATTTAAGGGTCTGTCATTACTGCATCCCTCTTATTAAGCCTTGAGCTATCTGGAATACCCGTATTAGTAATATGCTAATACTTGGTAAATTAAAGCAGCTGGCTGTTTATTCTCTGTTTAAAAAAAGCCTATCCCATTCTCAAAAAGCAGGGAAAATGGGTAAAATTGACTCATTAGGTGGTTTAAGTGAATAAAAAGCAGCGGTTTTTCTTTTCTTACTCTAATTGTGTCCTTGTTCTGCTTAAAGGCTCTGCAAATACAGTTGCCAAACAATCAGAAATGACAATGAGGGTGCTCTTCAAAAGAGCAGGATAATTTCCATAATTTACCACTTGTTTACCTACAATCACAATGGCTACTTTGACACAGCCAGTGTTTGGATTGGCAAGTGTATTTACAAGCAGGTGACTCAGAAATTGGTATTTATATGCAAAAGGACATGGGAACCAAATTAAATAGGAATATTTCCTGGCGGTATTCATAACCTGAGAGAAGTTGACAGCTAAAAAAAAATAGTAATTGTGTGTGTGTGTGTGGTACGGTGATATGATAGACGACTAGATTGCTAGGTTCCAATCATGCAACACTGATCAACCAAACTGGAGTCACTCTGAATTGAAGCAGTCCAAACTGTACTGACAGCCGTATTATGCCTTTGTGCACGTAGCCATCAAGAGTTTAGGTTTATACCGCCAAAATGACTGGCAGTGCAGGAATCACTCGACTTCCAATGAAAAGTCACTGACTCGTAAGAAGCGAAGTAAAGAAAGCAAGATCAAACCACACAGCATAGCCTCTGGCAGGACTCCCACTATTTTACTACCAGGACGCTAAGCTTAATACATAAACGTCCTCTTCCACGGCACTGTGGTATGCTACTTTGTCTCAGTCAAATAGAGCCTTATGGTGCCTTGCATAGCTCGGAGGCAAGAGACCGATTCCTTTGGTGAGTGTGCTACCCCTCACTGGCAGCCCGAGGGTACCCTATATACCAATGCAAATCACAGCCATTTGTCGGAAAGATAAATCCCATTTTAGCACTGGGGTGCCACCGCTAGGTGACCAGGACGCTAGCTGGATGCTGTGCAGAGAAAGGAAAGTTCTTGCCACCGGAGGCTAATTCATTGCTTTACGAAGGGCCGTGTGGAAACAGGCAGGCAGAAGTCTCTTGAGCTTGATGTAATTCCAGCCTTGGGTGGTTAACTTGTAAAGGCTGATCAATTATTTACAGCATTTTTTTGTTCAACTCTGTAAAGAAGCCTTGAGGGAGACGCCGAGAGCTGCTGGTGATGACAGGCTTCATATCGACATGCTCTCTTGCTCTCCTCCCATTATCAAAGTGATGCGAAGCTTTCTTATCTGGAAACATGTTAACAAATCTCATTTCTAATTCGTTTACCTGTTGCAGCACGGACATCAAGGGAAGACAGATTTAGATAGACGTTATCTTACAGCTTTGTCGTTTAGAAGAACAATAAGTTCAGAATCGCTGCGATGGGTCAAATCGTCAGCAAGTTTATCTACATTTTGTCTTGCATAACCTGCACTTTTTAGTGGTGGTGCTTTATGTAATGTCACTCCACAGGTAACGGGATGCTAAAAGAAGTCCAAAACACATCAAAGCACATCCCCTAGTAAACAAGTTCATCATACCTGAACCTTCTGGACGACAATAGCAGCACAACGTGATGCGCATTTCATCAGTGGCTCATTAGTAAGGACACGGTAACTTGTAAAATTGATTCATCGTGGTTGAAGCTCCTGCTGTGCTGGTCACTTGTCCCTCAGCAGGGCAAGCCATTAAGCTTTTTATCATTTACAGGCTCGAAAATTAATTCAATCTTTTATTAAAAACTTCTTGACCTTTCTAAAACTAAGCAAAGTTAATGAAGGCAATCAAAGTATTACAAGAAATATAGCCCTGTTGACAAATACAAACTCAGCATCACACTGCTAAAGTTAATGCATAAGTAAAGAGCAATCCAGGTCGTCTAAACAGTGGCGAAGTATTTTGTAAAGCATTTCAGAAGACAAAGCACAGGGTGAAATTAGTCATGACAGCTGCAACAAGGGTTAGCCTGCTACATTCAAACACACAATGTGAAACACAAAGCCAAGGTTTTTTAGAATACCATAAACAATTAGGGGCATTTTATAAATAATCATAATTTAATCAAATTGTCAGAGCACATATCTACACCCCTAGTTTTTGCTTATAGTGTATCTGACAGTACGCCATGCTTAAGGCAAGACATCCCAGATAAACAGGATAAAAAAATAAAAATAAAAAAATAGACATCAGCACACTTCCCCTGATAATTGATTACATTACGTATTGCAGTCTTTTTTGTATTACAAGTTTTCTGAAATGTTATGCTTAAATATGCAAATAAGGCATTATAATTAAATATGCACTTGACAAACACCTCAGTAAAATCCTTCAGAATATAGATAGGAATAAAACTGCAAAGTTTGGTATATGTAAGTGCTGCTGAAGTGAAGATTTCTGACACAGCGAAGAAAAAACTCATTTTGAGAAAACGGCCTTTAAAATAATTACTGTAATTGAAATCTACAGACGCAAACTGCTGTAAAAGATGCACTTAGAGTCTTTTGGATGTTTTCTTTCTACTATTCTGAAAAAAAACAACAACACAAAGCTAAAAAGCCCAAAATCTCAAAACTGTTTTTGCTTGTATGTCTGGCCTTAAGGTACATTTCTTCAACATTAGTAGGGTAAATTCAGGCAAATAGGTCCCAAACACGGAACCACTTTAATTTCAACTTGCCTAAATTCACCCTATTTAACAAAACAATTAATAAGAAACTGGCCACACACTCTTAAAAAAAACAAAAAAAAACTCAGCATCTCTGACACTCCCTGAACCCCAGCCAAGAGCTTCTCTTCTCAGCAGGCCTTAGTTAAAAAAGTTCCTGCTAACATCTGACCTCCACCACTACCCAAAATATTGAAAAAAAATGAATGTCTGGCCTGTGGCTACCTCCACAAGCTCCACAGCAGGTCCAGCTAGGGATGTCGGGACTCATCAAGCATCAGCGATATCGAGAAGGGACTCACCGTTAGGAGTTGCAGTGACCGGAGCGCAGACGTTCCCTGAGCCGGTTTTAACTAAGAATGAATTGGGGCCAAACTCATCTTCTGACTCAGAGTCCCGGCCGGCCTGAGCCCCGCTGTTACCTAGCAACCTTCCCTGGCTCTGATTGGCTGCATGAAGAGGGGGAGGGTAAGGGGAGTCGACAGGGGAAGAGGAGGCAGATGAGCAATGAAGAGGAGGACCTGTAGACCACAAACACAAACAACACACGGGGGACAACTTAAAACACACCTCCCAGTGACACCACATAACCAAAAATGAATACATGGACAGCACAGAAACATGCAGAGAGAATTAATAAAAGCCATGAATGCACAGATGAAAGCTGTCTGTCTTGTTTCATCTGTCTTTGTTCTGCCCAGCTGAACAGGGAGATTGGCATAACCGTGATAACACAGTTGCTTTGTGACTCCAAAAAAAGGATTTTTTCTTTTTACATTTTCCAAAGACAGATCGACAGACAAGCTTTAACAAAACATGGAACATTCAGAAAGAATCACTGGTGATCAACAGTGAAACTATTAATCAACAGTGAATAAATTAGACATTGGGTGAATCTCACAAAAACAGATCCAGGTCTATCACCCTGGAAACATACGACAAAATAATCAGAAACTACACTTTGCATAAAGAAACCAAAGCCTATTTTAGGAAAATCACGGTTTTGTGAAAAAAATCCTATTCCATATGATTTTTTTAAAGAATTTATATCGGCATAAGTTAAAGGCAAGTATTTCCTTGATATATTTATACTTTAAAATTTAAAATATATATTTAAAAATATATTAAAATATGCATTGCATTAGACTTATGTAGACTTGAAATATGCATATGCATTAAACTAACAGTATGAGACTTATAAAGGTAAGAAATATGCTTAATTCATTATGTTTTTAATAGATTTTTTTGATTTTGGGGTCAAACCAGACTTAAGAAATTACATTAAATCATAGTAGAATGAGATATTTTTTTTCATTACTCAACTTGGCTTAATCAACCTTTCATTTATTTATCATTTTGGAGTAAATTTATGAACTGGTTCTTGAAAGGTTTTGTGAAATTTACCCAAATCACATTTACTCAACACAACAAATTAGAAAAGCAATGATATTTTGGAAAATTATTGTACACAGTATTGGAAAAATAACAAAACTACTTTCACAGCACACAAGAATGAAACTGACTTCTGGAGGAAACACACACACACACACACACTCTGTGAGGACATTCATTGACACAATGCATTCTCTTGCTCCTAACCATAACGCGACCCATCACATCTAATTGCCTAACCCGAACCCTTAACGTAATTATAACCTTATCCCTAAAACCAGGTCCTGACCCTCAAACAGGCCTTTAAATGGGTCTCGGAAAATGAGGACCGACCAAAATGCCCTTACTTTACCTTTGTCCTAACTAAAACTCAAACCGAGCCACACAAAGATAGTTTTCCAAGTACAAGTACAAGTACAAGTACAAACACACTATATATATATATTTGTTTCCACTTAAAAATGTGCTGATCTTTTCTTTCTGAGCAAACTCTTGAGAGATTTGAGACAGCATAATAATGGGAACAATAGCAGCATTTTTCCAGCAAGATATGAAACTATCTAAGAGTGAACATTTCAAGTACAAAAGTACTGGCAAAAGTTCAAAAAGTTTGCCCAGTTATAGGACTAAGATGGTGTTTATATTCTGAGAACAAAGTGTTTTAGTCTTTCTTCCATATATTGTCAAGTGAAAGGAGCTGACGAGTTGACGGAATATCATTCAGAGTTAAAGAAAAAATTTGCAAATGTGTAATTACTGCTAGGACGAGACACAGCTGATTGAGTGAAAGTGAATTAAGAAATAATTAGTGAAATTATCATATGATCCATTAAAGTGTCAATCAAGCCGTTTGATCTTAATGATGCATGTCTTGTGTTCCATTCATCACTTTAATTTGACAAGTCTTAAAACACATTATAATATTATACTCCACCTAAAAATGATCAGCAAAACTAGCAGAGAGTATGCTACACATCGGCAAATAACATTTTACATTTATAGCTAAAGTTGTAGTCAAATTAAACATATTTGTTTATTACTTTGGTGTATAAGAAATAATTTGGTGCAGCCGCAACTAAAACGATCATGTGTGTTCAGCAAAAAAACAGTTATTCCTAAGTCATACTTTCTTTGCATAAATTGACAAATTGCAAATAAGAAAGGATATGAACGATTTACACAGGAATTCATTGTTCAATCAACATCTGAACGGTGAAAAACTCCATCCCTCTCAGTACTGTAAATTTCTGTTCCGGTTATGAAATGACACTACTTTTTGAATTGCATGTTGAAGCATGAACGTCTCTGAAGTGAAAATCTTTGAACCAACAGCCTTTCAATCTCTGATCTCCTGTCAGAAGAAACACGCCGCATTACAATAGAGGCTTTTAACAAGAGTCGTAGAACTGGTTTGGAACAACTGAGGAGGGACAGGAATAAGGATTTGTTTTTAACTCTCCTTAAAGGCCAAGTATTAGTGTCCATAACCTAAAAGATAAGTATTGAGGGGTTTATCATTGGTTCTCTGCTGAATTCCTTTCTATGAAGTCTGAATTAAATGGATAGAATATGGGGCAATTCATCTGATGTAAAAGCAGGATAAATAACTTTTCTAATCGTGAGTCAAATAATTTTGCCTAAACTTGTAAAAAAAAAAAAAAAAAAAAAAAATTATATCTCAAAACATGCATGGATGGAATTTTTTTAGAGGTTTTACTTTTGAACCTAGAGCACGTTTAATTGTCAATTAATCACGTCTTCTCTGACAGAAAACTTCTTATTAAAGTCCTTTAAAAGTGCTGAAAGTCACAGAGGGGCATGAGCAGATTGGGCGTTCGTGTGCTCGCGGAGGGGTGCATTTGTCTTACAGGCTGTTGCGGCCTGTGTTTAATTAATTCTACCTTGCGCAATTTATTTTCATTTCTCTGACTTAGAGAAGCACTATGAGAGAAGGTGTGTATGTGTGTGTGTGTGTGTGTGTGTGTGTACATATTTTTCTATCCCGGTGGGGACTTCAACCTCAATGCACACAGACTCATGGGGACTCGTGTCACTGTGGGGACATAAATTGAGATCCCTATGAGGAAACAAGCTTATAAATCATACAGAATTACAAAGTTTTGTGTGATGGGTATGTTTAGGGTTAGTGTAAGGGGAGAGAATTTACAGTTTGTACAGTATAAAAACCATTACGTCTGTGGAAAGAGTCCCCACAAAGATAGTAAACCAGACGCGTGTGCCTGTGTGTGTGTGTGTGTGTGTGTGTGTGTGTGTGTGTGTGTGTGTGTGTGTGTGTGTGTGTGTGTGTTTGTGTGTCACAAACAAGTTTATCTGATTATTATTATTATTATATTGCTTCAACACATAAAATTTTAAATATTTGTTTTAAACAATAAATAAATATTAATTATTATTATAATTATTATTATTACACAAGTGCTGTTAAGACAATATTAATTTATGAATGTGTAAAGTGAATATTTATTATTTGATGTTATTATTATTATTATATTGCTAAAAATAATAAATATGTTTTAAACAAATTAATATTGATTTGCAATTGTTATTATTACTATAATTATTATTATTATTAAAGTACTCCAATATTAATTTATGAATATGTATAAAGTTCATATTTATTATTTGATGTTATTATTATTATATTGCTTACACATAAAATGATAAATATTAGTTGTAAACAATAAATTAAAATTGATTTGCTATTGTTATTATAAAAGTCAATATGTATTTATGAATATGTATAAAGTTAATATTTATTATTTGATATTATTGTATTATAATTATATTATTATTATATACCAACAACAATAAATTAATTTTAAACATAATAAATTAATATTGATTTTCAACCATTTTATTATTATCATTATTGTTCCTATTGTGATAGTATTGTAAATCAATAATTTAATATGTATGCAACACATATTTATTATATGTGGTTAATATAAAATAATATGAATATCTATTATTTTATGTTAATAATAATAATAATAATAATATGAAAATTGTGGCCCTGTGGCACTTATAATTATTTTTTATAATTATTATACTACTACTACTACTAATAATAATAATATGATTATTATTATTAGTAGTAGTAGTAGTATAATAATTATAAAAAATAATTATAAGTGCCACAGGGCCACAATTTTGAAATGCTAACCAGTGAATAAACCAGTGAATAACTTATTTAAAGTTATGACCTCGGCATAACTTGGACAGAAGAAATCATTTTAACACCGAAAAGGTGTTTAATTCTTTAGTCAAATTATTCTTCAACACAGGAGATCTCTGGTATAACTTGAGTCAGAGTTCTCTTTCAGCCCGTTTGCTCTTATTTCAGTTCCTGACAGACTTTCCCCCGTGGCCTGCCCTTCAAGCCGGGCCGATGACTGCAGTGCTCCCGGGGCAGGAACGCAGCGGGGCCACCCACACTAACACAGGCCCTAATCTACTCAGGAGTCACCTAATTAAACCAGCAGGCCGAGCAGGTAGACTGAGCTTTTCCCCGTCGCCACGGCAACCCATTGTATCCTGCAATCTCCCAGGAGACCCGGCTGAACAGAGAGCCGATTGCGAGGGCAATTGGTACAAACAGCAGGGCCAGCTTTCTGTTCAGCTCGGCCTCGACGCTTGAATTACACGGCCCTGGCCTCTGGGCCATCTTCAAAACGTACTTTACACTCCGGAGCGAACATCAAAAAGCCCAGCGAATAAAGATCCTTCAGTCAGTGAGGCTTTCAAATAAGACGTCACACCGCTTAATTCACTCTCGCTAAGAGCTTTGTAAATTATGTCATTATAATCAATACGGCTGCATTACGGGTAGTCAATCCGTACCATTACGCAGCCTCTTCCACCAAATGAAATAGATGAAGTCGGATGTCGCGCGCATTATCCGACGCATGCATTATATTATCAACAATAACAAGAAGATCAGAGTAGCATCTATAAGATTCTGCTGGAGATACTGGATTTCACTTATAAGCGCAGTTTGATGGAGAACCGACGTAATGGCAGGGCAGATGAAGGGGCATCGATTGTCCGACGCACAACAGCACAGCTGCTGATGCTGAAAAGGAGGATGAAATGGCAGGAAATGAGTTAG